TGGTTACTATCTTTTAAAAAAGTAAATCATGAGATAGGGATTTCATCAGATTAATAGAGTTTGTAAACAAGAATGAAATCAAAATGATAGACTTATAACAGAATAATTAAAAATAATTTAATTTAATATCTCTATAGATAATTTTTTTAATATATTTTATTGATTTTTTACAGAGAGGAAGGGAGAAAGATAGAGAGTTAGAAACATCGATGAGAGAGAAACACCGACCAGCTCCCTCCGGCACATCTCCCACTGGAGATGTGCCCACAACCAAGGCACATGCCCTTGACCAGAATCGAACCTGGGGCCCCTCAGTCCGCAGGCCGACACTCTATCCACTGAGCCAAACCGGTTTCCTCTCTAAAGATAATTTAAATGGAAATTGGGAAGAGCTGAATGGGATATTTTTTAGTGATCTAGATAAAAGAATATAATATCAAATTTAGTTTAGAGGCTTTCATGAATATCTCTACGTATTTTTTCAACCATATACCATAAAAAGAAGCCATTTTACTGAATTGAAAATACTTTTATTAAAACAATACTTACTCTTATATGCTTAACTTTACTTAATTTTACTTAATAATGTGCTGATAGTCTATTTCACTGACTTCTAAGTGTATATAGAATGAAGGATATTAATATAAATAGACAGATATAGAAATTAAAATTAAGATAAGCCTAATAGCCTTTCAAAATCTCACAAATAGTTAATATTAGTTTTATGAATAGAACTCAATGCATGTGCAATGATTGCAGTTTGCTGGTATAAGATTTTGTCTACTTTAGCCAATAGTGGAAACATCCATTGGAAATTCTGTTACCAAAAAGTAAATCTTGGCTCAATCGCTTTTGATTGTTTGTCTTCAATGTCTGCTGTTTTCAGAAACTTTGAGGTGACATAAGAAATCATACCCAAAAAATGACAAATTCTGATATATAACAACGCACAACTTTGGTTCAGGAAAAAAATTTAAAAAGGAGAGCAATAGATCAAGGATTGTTTCTATGTAATATTTTAAAATATAACAATATAGATAGGGGTAATAAGTTATAGGAAATTCAGAAAGTCAGACTAGAAAAAACAAGCAAAATATATATCTCTACCAGGAAAAGAAAGGTTAAACACCACATAGTAACTATATTAACAGATATTATATTTTCAATTATAATACACATGTTTTTATGCCTGTGTTTATCTTCTATTAGAAAGGGGATGGTATGAATTTAAATAGCAGAAATATTTTGAGAGCAAAGTAAATAATGATAGTAGAGCTACTATAATATTGCCAGTAAGATTCAAGTTTAGATAGCTTTTACATATAGCTTTTAATAGTCAAAAATACATTTAGTAAACAAGTACTAATCTCTGTGTAGCTGGATATAAAAAATTAAGTTAATTAGTCCTAACTTAAGTTCCTTATCTATAAAATGGATACAATAGAAAAAATAGTATATCGTTTTTATGGTTATTGTTTTTAATATGTTTTTATTGATTTTTAGAGAGAGAGGAAGGGAGAGGGAGAGAGATATAGAAACATTGATGAGACAGAAACATCAATGGACTGCATCCTGTATGCCCCCTACTGGGGATCAAGCCCACAACCTGGGTCAGTGGCCTGACTGGGAATGGAACCAGTGACCTCTTGGTGCATGCAATGATTGGGACCTATGGTT